GGGGGGGGGGATCTTCTCAGTTCTCACCCTGGGAAAATGGGAGTGGCCCACTCCCCGTGACGCATGCTACAGACTGCATTATCGTTGCTATTATTATTATTATTATTATTATTATTGTTTCTCACAAACATAAAGTGATCCATTGGAGGAGGAGGAAGAATGTGGAGTCCTTGGTGCTCTCTGAGCTTGGTGGTTTTCTTGCAGATGTTTTGTTACCCAACTAGGTAACGTCATCAGTGCTAGAAAGGAATGTAGTTTGTGGAAAGGAGGAGGAGGAGGAGGAGGAAAGGAAGGAAAGGGAGGAAGGAAGGAGGAGGAGAAGAGGAGGAGGAAAGGAAGGAGGCAGGGAGAGGAAAGGAAGGGAGGAAGGAGGAGGAGGAGGAGGGGAGGAGGAAAGGAAAGGAAGGAGAGGAAGAGGAAAGGAAGAAAGGAAGGAGAGGAGAAGGAAAGGAAAAGGAGGAAGGAGGAAGAGGAGGGGAAGAGGAAAGGAAGGAAGGATGAGAACAAGGGGAAAGGAAAGGAAGGAGGAGGAGGCAGGGAGGAGGAAAGGAAAGGAAGGAAGAAGGAGAGGAAGAGGAAAGGAAGAAAAGAAGGAGGAGGAGGAGAAGAGGAGGAGGAGGAAAGGAAGGATGAGAACAAGAAGGAAAGGAAGGAGGAAGAGGCAGGGAGGAGGAAAGGAAAGAAGGAAAGGAAGAGGAAAGGAAGAAAGGAAGGAGGAGGAGAAGGAGAGGAGGAGGAAAGGAAAGAAAGGAAGGAGGAGGAGAGGATGAGGAAGAGGTGGTGGTGGAGGAGTGTCCTCCCTCATGGAACGAGGGTTTTCTGCACTAGGCATATCTCTCTCTCTATATATATCTATATATATATTTAAAGAAAACTGGGGAAGGGGGACTGTAAACATCGATTCTGGTTCAGCCCTTCCCACCGTCAGAGCCTGAAGGTGAAGACGATTTCGGTCTCGGGATTCAAGCCCGTCGGGTTCTTGAGTTGGGATGTAAACAAGCCGGGGGCAGCCGGGTCCGTGTAAGGCCCCCCCGGAAAACAGCAGGCTCCTTCGGGGATGCCCCGCTCCTCGATGGGACTCCCCTGGTTCAAGGCCAAACTTTTGAGCTTCTGCCTTTCCTGGGCTTGTCTGGCCCGGTTGGCGATGTATCTCACCCTGCTTTGACTCCGAGAAGAAGACCTTCGGATCAGGACGGTCTCTTCTTCCTCCTCCTCTTCTTCCTCAGCCTTGGGAAGTTCCAGACAGGTGGGGGAAGTGATGTCGTTCTCCTGCTGGAAGAAGGTGAGCTTCTTCAGGCGCTCTGTCAGCTCGTCCGGAGATCTCCCGGACGAAGTCTTGGAGGCCCCACGATGGGCGCTCACTGAACGGGTGGCGAAGCTACGGCGGATGATCCGGTACTTGCTCTCCGAAGTGGACGTGATGTCATCGGAGGTGAGGTCTCCAAGGCTCCTGGACTTCATGGGGTTGGCGTCGAGGTTCTTCTGCTCTTCTGGCTTCAGGCACGACCGCTTGAGGCTCTCCATGTACAACCGGTTCCAGGTGTGCCTTCTGGATACCGAGGAGAATCCAAGAGGCCTTGGGCGCAAGTCATCTTCCATGGGTTGGTCCAACCTCAAGTTGGGGTTGGACTTGCTCTTGGTCACCGTGGGGGCTTCACGCCCAGAGGCCGCGCTGGCAGACCAGGGCCTCACGATTCTTCTCTGAGGGACGGCATCCAAGGTCTTAGGAGGACCGAGGTCCGGAAGGCTTTTCCGGGCAAGGTTGGGGAAGGAGAGGTCTATGACGGTATCGTTGGAAGACATGCTGGAAGAGGAGGACATGCTGTCCTGGTGGGTGCTGAAATCAAGCTTGCTCCAGATCCGGTCATGGACCGTGGCATCCCAATAAACTTCCGGCGCGGAACAGTCATCAGGATGCTTCAGGGAGACTCCGTGCTCGCACCGCTTGTATCCTTCATCCTTCGATCTCCTCACAACAGTCGGAGGCACAGAGACCAGGACAGTGCGAAGTGGAGTTGTCGGGGTCCTGCTGTCCCTTTCGCTTTGGTATGATGGTCCAACTCTGTTCTTCTCATTGCTTGTCGTCTGTTGAACCAACCTGCTGGTCTTCTTCTGGCCATTTCCAGCCGGGTGGAGGCAACAATTGTCCGACGCGTGCTGCCCTTGAGAATGGAGAAGACCTCCGTGGCAAGGAGCTCTTGTCCACCCTTCTTCTTCTTTGGCGCTTCCCATCCCTTCTTCTTCTTCTTCCGAGACACTGGGAGCGAGAAGCACCTTCTCCGAACCCGGGTGGTGGCGCAAACGAGAAGTTCTCTCAAGACACCCAGGGTGGTCGCTTCCATCTGGAACTTCTTCCTGAGAAGGACGAGGCACAGAGTCTTCTTTGGGGTCTTCGCTGACGGGGCGGGTGGGCAGAAGGAAGCAGGAACTGCTGGAAGGCTGGTTCTCGTTGGCGGCGAGGGGCTCTTCGTGGATGGTCTGCAGGCTGCATAAGGAAGGGGCCGACCGGTACATGGAAAATTGGCGGACATCTGGAGGAAGAAAGGAGAAGAAATCCATGAGTGAGAGGACGCCCAAGAAGTTCTCAAAGAAGATGGCTCGGGTACTCTTGCTGTCCCATTTTGAGTTACCAGTTGTAAAGGGAAGCCTACTTTAAGGGATAGTTGTCAAACACAACCATCTCAATAGGTAGAAGTAGAAGCATCTGCGTCCGGCTCACACAAACAGACAATGGGCCGATCCCCACCACATGGGGATGGGATTCAGCCGGTTCAGGCAAACTGGATGCTAATTTTACATCTGGTTCACCGAACCGGTAGTTGGAAGGACTGGCCGGCCTCGCCCGCCCCTCCCCGGAGTCTCCACGTGCCCAGTTCATCATTCCAGGTAAGTGTAGGGTCCGCGCAGAGGTTCCGGGAGAGTGAAAAACGAGCCTCCCAGAAGTCCAGAAATGGGCCCGTTTCTGGGCTCCGGAGCCTGGGGGAGGCTGCTTTTGCCCTCCTGGAGGCTCCACACAGGCCCTACACTTAACTGGAATAATGAACTGGCTGCATGGAGACTCCGGGGAGGGGCAGGCGGGGCCAGCCAGTCCTTCCAAGTACTGGTTCGGCGAACCAGATGTAAAATTAGCATCCAATTTGCCTTAACCAGTCCGAACCGGCTGAATCCTGAGTAGGCCATGCCCCCCCAGCAACTGGGCAGAGAACCAATTGCTAAAATTTTTCAATCCCACCCCTGCCACCACATCCCACTCCCTTCTCTGTTCTAGCATTGATTGAAATTTTTGTTTTCTTTTCACTTAGTTCTATCAAAAGGAGGGAGCACCATAGATGGGGGTGGGGAAATCTATCTGTGCAGTCATGAAGAATGGAAAGCGATTGGATTGCTCCAAATCAAATCATCGGATCTTCTCGTTACATAACCGTGTGGCTATTACGTCAAGGGGTAAGACATTTAACCAGAAAAATATGAATACCTCAAATTAATATTTTAAAAGATAATATAGTTTGGGTTTTTGTTTTTTTTTTAAAAAGAACCATCACCAAATATTGAAAAGAGATTAACTTTTAAGCACCCGGACTATAACTCGTAATATAAAACAAATATAAGATTAAAAAATACGCCATGTGTAAATACGGGTAAAAGATTGGCATGGCTTGGAGTAGATAGGAAATGCTTGCAGGGAATATTAACCTGGTCATTCCCAGTTAACGTGCCAACTCAAAAGCTCAGCGGGACGATTCGGTTGACCTAGGATTAACTAGGTTGTGTGAACATGGCCAGGAGAATGGGCGGGTTTTGCAACCCGCAACGCTGGGATGGCCATGCTCCGGAGGAGTGGTGGCCATTCACTGTGGCTAAATCGGATCCCCCAGAGAATCGCAGTGCCTTCAATAGCAATTGTACTGAAGACTTATATAGCTCCTGACGGGGGCTTTGGAGCCCCTCTCTCGCCCCCAACTATCTGGGTCCTCGTTTTACCAGCCTCGGAAGGACGGAAGGCTGAGTCAACCTTGAGCCTGGTGAGATTTGAACTGCCAAATTGCAGGCAGCCGGCAATCAGCAAGGAGCCTGCAGTACTGCACTCTAACCAGATAGATAGATAGATAGGCAGACAGACAGACAGACAGAGAGGCCTGCAATACTGCATGATAACCACTTCATCACCAAGGGGGGGGGATAGGGAGAGAGAGATGATAGATAGTTAGATAGATAGATAGATAGATAGATAGATAGAGACAGACAGACAGACAGACAGACAGACAGACAGACAGACAGATTAGAGAGAGGGGGATGGATGGATAGATATNAAAGAAAGAAAGAAAGAAAGAAAGAAAGAAAGAAAGAAAGAGAGAGAGTAGGGAGGAAGGAAAGAAGGAAGGACGGAAGGAAATATGGATAGATAGCTAGATAGAGATAGATAGATAGATAGATAGATAGATAGATAGATAGATAGATAGATAGATAGAAGACAGACTAGAGAGAGAGGGATAGATAGATATGGATAGACAGAGAAAGAAAGAAAGAAAGAAAGAAAGAAAGAAAGAAAGAAAGAAAGGGGATAGGGAGGAAGGAAAGAAGGACGGGAGGAAATATGGATAAATAGATAGAGATAGGTAGATAGATAATAGCAATAGCACTTAGACATATACCACTTTATAGTGCTTTTACAGCACTGCACAGCCCTCTCTAAGCAGTTTATAATCTGGATCCTCGTTTTACTGATCACGGAAGGACGGAAGGCTGTAGAGAAAGGGAGAAAGCAGGCAAAGGGAAGAAGCCTGAAAGAAGTCTTCAGTTACCTGGGGTTGGATCATCCTTTCAGTTCTTAACTACCCGGTGAAAGAGGGCACGAGGAACAGGAGGAAACGAAAGAAAGGGGGGGGGGGAAAAAGAGGGAAAATAAAAACCAAGTTAGTTCAGGGACAGAGAATGAACCAGGAAAAAGGAAGCCGATGGAAACGAGATTACGGTAACTCGACGGGCTGATCCTGAGAATTCCGCTTTTGACCAACCAGAAGAAGCTTAAAGAGAAAGAATCGGGTGGGGGGGGGGAGAGAGTCCAGGATTATGGGTAACAATGTAGAGTGCAAATCTGTTGAAATCGGAACGAAGAATTATGGAGCTGGAATGGGGCCTTGGAGGTCTTCTAATCCCACCCCGTGTTCTATTTCCACGCCGTCAGGAATTCTCCGGGTTCAGCTAAGTAGGAAAAATAATAATAATCCTGTTTCTCCACTCTGAAATAGGTTTTATTGGCATGTTGGGATTTGATTCTCGGGCAACAGGAGGTTTAACAGATTTAACATGTTAAAACGGGGGCGCAACACGCTTAACCGATGCTTTTACTTAGCAACAGTAATGTTTGGGGGGGGGCATTGTGGAAGTTCAAACCCACCCCTTCCTCCGCCTAGAGAAAATGAAATATCCTGGGAAATATTGAAAAGGCAGGATGTTACATTTTCCCTGGATCAGAAATGGAGAAACATGTTTTTAGGCAGGAAACGGACTCACTCTGAATAGCCCCCACCTTTGTCAATGGGCCATTAAAGGCCTGAGCCAGTGCTTAATAAAGATCTCCCCCCTTCAGCTCCAGGGTGAGGGGATTAAAGCATGGGAATATTAGCCCTTTGCCTATCTCACCACAGAAGAAGCAATGCTCAACCAAACTTGGACTCCAAATAGAGAGTTGGCCCCATAGGAGTCTGACAACCAATCAGAATAGAAGCTCGGGTTCAAAACTCAGAGAGGGCATAAAACCAGGGATTTTCAGCATTTCTGTCTCTTTTTCTTTCTTCACCCAACATCTAGAAGGATGACCTTTTCCCCCAGGACCTTAAACCACTATTAAACCATCTTTCCAAGCAGCCTCCATGATTCCTGTGTCTTTTTTTCCCCACTTGGAACTGAACCCAGAGGGAAATGTCTTCCATCTGTCGTATGTCGAGGATTACCATATGATACATCACTCAGGGAGCCAGAAGGCAAGGAGTTAATTTTGGCTTTTTTTTTTGAGGTAGCCGTTCTGGTTGGATGAGAAGGTTCTTAGGATCACACCCAATGGAACACACAAAAAAAGGGACACCACAACAGCTTGCAAAAGAGGAGAAGAACCGGCATGCAGGGGAAAGTCACTACTTCTCTACGGTAAAGCCCCCCCCAGCGGAAATGAAATTACGACACCATGCTTGGACGGTCACTAAGAGAGGACGACACTGAAGCGGCCAAGCCCCACACCAATAACAGGGAGCGCAGGCGTTTCTACGGGGAGATGGTGGCACGGATGCCGGAACTGAGCTCCGGGAGCGCGGGAAGACCCGCTCTTACCGGTGAAGAATATAGGGGATTTACTCCGAATTTCCTCCATTTTTTCCGAAAACAAGGCATTCATTTCCCGCTGAAGGGTGCCCGCCTGTTTGCGGGCGCTCTCTGGCCAGCCCTTGGAGAAATCGGGGCTCTCGAGGCTGTCTAGGCTGCTGGAGCTGGAGGACACCGAGCCGTTGTTGTTGGAGCTCACCAGGTTGACAGTGCTTCGGTATTTGCCGCNGATAGATAGAAGACAGACTAGAGAGAGAGGGATAGATAGATATGGATAGACAGAGAAAGAAAGAAAGAAAGAAAGAAAGAAAGAAAGAAAGAAAGAAAGGGGATAGGGAGGAAGGAAAGAAGGACGGGAGGAAATATGGATAAATAGATAGAGATAGGTAGATAGATAATAGCAATAGCACTTAGACATATACCACTTTATAGTGCTTTTACAGCACTGCACAGCCCTCTCTAAGCAGTTTATAATCTGGATCCTCGTTTTACTGATCACGGAAGGACGGAAGGCTGTAGAGAAAGGGAGAAAGCAGGCAAAGGGAAGAAGCCTGAAAGAAGTCTTCAGTTACCTGGGGTTGGATCATCCTTTCAGTTCTTAACTACCCGGTGAAAGAGGGCACGAGGAACAGGAGGAAACGAAAGAAAGGGGGGGGGGGAAAAAGAGGGAAAATAAAAACCAAGTTAGTTCAGGGACAGAGAATGAACCAGGAAAAAGGAAGCCGATGGAAACGAGATTACGGTAACTCGACGGGCTGATCCTGAGAATTCCGCTTTTGACCAACCAGAAGAAGCTTAAAGAGAAAGAATCGGGTGGGGGGGGGGAGAGAGTCCAGGATTATGGGTAACAATGTAGAGTGCAAATCTGTTGAAATCGGAACGAAGAATTATGGAGCTGGAATGGGGCCTTGGAGGTCTTCTAATCCCACCCCGTGTTCTATTTCCACGCCGTCAGGAATTCTCCGGGTTCAGCTAAGTAGGAAAAATAATAATAATCCTGTTTCTCCACTCTGAAATAGGTTTTATTGGCATGTTGGGATTTGATTCTCGGGCAACAGGAGGTTTAACAGATTTAACATGTTAAAACGGGGGCGCAACACGCTTAACCGATGCTTTTACTTAGCAACAGTAATGTTTGGGGGGGGGCATTGTGGAAGTTCAAACCCACCCCTTCCTCCGCCTAGAGAAAATGAAATATCCTGGGAAATATTGAAAAGGCAGGATGTTACATTTTCCCTGGATCAGAAATGGAGAAACATGTTTTTAGGCAGGAAACGGACTCACTCTGAATAGCCCCCACCTTTGTCAATGGGCCATTAAAGGCCTGAGCCAGTGCTTAATAAAGATCTCCCCCCTTCAGCTCCAGGGTGAGGGGATTAAAGCATGGGAATATTAGCCCTTTGCCTATCTCACCACAGAAGAAGCAATGCTCAACCAAACTTGGACTCCAAATAGAGAGTTGGCCCCATAGGAGTCTGACAACCAATCAGAATAGAAGCTCGGGTTCAAAACTCAGAGAGGGCATAAAACCAGGGATTTTCAGCATTTCTGTCTCTTTTTCTTTCTTCACCCAACATCTAGAAGGATGACCTTTTCCCCCAGGACCTTAAACCACTATTAAACCATCTTTCCAAGCAGCCTCCATGATTCCTGTGTCTTTTTTTCCCCACTTGGAACTGAACCCAGAGGGAAATGTCTTCCATCTGTCGTATGTCGAGGATTACCATATGATACATCACTCAGGGAGCCAGAAGGCAAGGAGTTAATTTTGGCTTTTTTTTTTGAGGTAGCCGTTCTGGTTGGATGAGAAGGTTCTTAGGATCACACCCAATGGAACACACAAAAAAAGGGACACCACAACAGCTTGCAAAAGAGGAGAAGAACCGGCATGCAGGGGAAAGTCACTACTTCTCTACGGTAAAGCCCCCCCCAGCGGAAATGAAATTACGACACCATGCTTGGACGGTCACTAAGAGAGGACGACACTGAAGCGGCCAAGCCCCACACCAATAACAGGGAGCGCAGGCGTTTCTACGGGGAGATGGTGGCACGGATGCCGGAACTGAGCTCCGGGAGCGCGGGAAGACCCGCTCTTACCGGTGAAGAATATAGGGGATTTACTCCGAATTTCCTCCATTTTTTCCGAAAACAAGGCATTCATTTCCCGCTGAAGGGTGCCCGCCTGTTTGCGGGCGCTCTCTGGCCAGCCCTTGGAGAAATCGGGGCTCTCGAGGCTGTCTAGGCTGCTGGAGCTGGAGGACACCGAGCCGTTGTTGTTGGAGCTCACCAGGTTGACAGTGCTTCGGTATTTGCCGCTGGGCGGAGCGCACCGCCACCGGTGCCAGGGGTGGTCCTTGGCCCCGAGACATGCCGAGTCCCCCTTTTTCTTCCCTGAGGTCCCAAAGGGCTGGCAGGTTCTGGGCAGGCTCCTGGTAGCCCCGTAGCCGGTGCACAGATGCAGATCGGAGCGGGCGCGGGGCTGTTCCTGGATCCCCCACGCTTTTAGCTCCACCCGCTCCTCGCCTGCCAAGCTGCCACAGCAGCCACAGTGGTGGCCATTGCCGGAGGCGGGCTGGCCAGCGCCGGGCTCGCTCCACTGGCCCTCCAACTCAGGGCTGTCGCTGGAGCCGACCACGCACTTCATGCAATAAGTGGCCATGCCAATCCTACCCGTCTCGTTGCCCTCTTTCTGGAGGCAGATCCGGCTGGATCTCCGGAGGGGTTCGCTGAAGGTGGCGTCCCGGAAGCCCTGCTCGCGTCGGCTCTGCTCCCTGCCCAAACTGTGAGCCTTACCTTTGGATCCCTTGGGGTCCGCGTCCGTGCGGCTGACGGCGGCCTCTCGGGAAGGAGACGGTGCCAGGGGCGGGAGGTCGGATTCTTGGTCGAAGCGAGGGTGGGAAGCGTCTTCCGGAACGGGGTCCTTGCTGGCTCCTTCCGAGCGATCGTCTCGGGCATCCAGGGCGATCTTGGGCTTTTTTAAGCTCTTGGTGGGCGCGCTGGCCGTCCGCCGTAACAGCTGGCTGCTAAAGGAATGTTTGCGGTTGAGCTGACCAGCAACATGGCTGTCGAGGGAGGCTTGCTTTGGACTTCTGAGAAAGAGACTTTTTATGCCCAGCGCTGGTTTGACCTGCGGGGGAAAGAAGAGAAGGAGGAAAGCCGTAACAGAGGACGTAGATTTCTTTCCCTGTGAAGCAAGGGGTGTTATGAACCTCACGAGAGCCCTGTTTAATCCCGGATGGACCGGAAGGCAGAATTGGGAGGGGAAAGAGGGGAAGGGCAGTGTGGTTTTCAAGACTTGACAGCTGTGTTGAGACCCGCCTGTCCCCAGATGCTCGGTTTCCATTTCCTAACCCAAATGACAGTCCCCCGTCCCCCACGCCACCGTGACCACAAGCCCAATCGCGTGTTGGAACACGACTAACATCGGGGGTGTGTGTGTGTGTGTGTCCTTGGTGCTCTCTGAGCTTGGTGGTTTACTTGTAAATGTTGTGTTACCCAAGTGGGTAACATCATCAGTGCTAGGAGGAGGAGGAGGAGGACGATGACTGTGGGGTCCCTGTTGCTCTCTGAGCTTGGTCGTTTTCTTGTTGATGTTTCTTTACCCAATATCATCAACGCTAGGAAGAGGAGGAGGGGAGGAGGAGGAAGAGGAGGAGGAGGAAGAGGAGGAGGAGGACTGTGGGGTCCCTGGTGCTCTCTGAGCTTGGTCGTTTTCTTGTTGATGTTTCTTTACCCAATATCATCAACGCTAGGAAGAGGAGGAGGGGAGGAGGAGGAAGAGGAGGAGGAGGAAGAGGAGGAGGAGGACTGTGGGGTCCCTGGTGCTCTCTGAGCTTGGTTGTTTTCTTGTTGATGTTTCTTCACCCAATGTCATCAACACTAGGAGAAGGAGGAGGAGGAGGAGGAGGAAGACTGGGGTTTTCTTGCTGATGTTTCCTTACCCAACTAGATAACATCAACACTAGTAGGAGGAGAAAGAGGAAGAGGAGAGGAGGAAGATGAGGACTGTGGGGTCCCTGTTGCTCTCTGAGCTTGGTTGTTTTCTTGTTGATGTTTCTTCACCCAATGTCATCAACACTAGGAGAAGGAGGAGGAGGAGGAGGAGGAAGACTGGGGTTTTCTTGCTGATGTTTCCTTACCCAACTAGATAACATCAACACTAGTAGGAGGAGAAAGAGGAAGAGGAGAGGAGGAAGATGAGGACTGTGGGGTCCCTGTTGCTCTCTGAGCTTGGTTGTTTTCTTGTTGATGTTTCTTTACCCAATGTCATCAACGCTAGGAGGAGGAGGAAGAGGAGGAGGAGGACTGTGGGGTCCCTGGTGCTCTCTGAGCTTGGTTGTTTTCTTGTTGATGTTTCTTCACCCAATGTCATCAACACTAGGAGGAGGAGGAGGAAGAGGAGGAGGAAGACTGGGGTTTTCTTGCTGATGTTTCCTTACCCAACTAGATAACATCAACACTAGGAGGAGGAGGAAGAGGAGAGGAGGAAGATGAGGACTGTGGGGTCCCTGTTGCTCTCTGAGCTTGGTTGTTTTCTTGTTGATGTTTCTTTACCCAATATCATCAACGCTA